CCTATAAATCTCTCGGTGATTCCAAGAAAGCAATCAAGCTTTGTGAGCTGGGTCTAAGTATCGTGAAAGAAACTGGAAACATAATTCTTGAAGGAATGGGTTATAGTAACTTAGCTGTACATTGTTGTTGTGTTGGCCAGTTTTCTAAAGCCGAGGAGGTTTGTAAATCCTCTATAAAATTATTCGAGGAAAAGAGGGTTCTTCAAGGGAAAGACGAGTGGAAAATTAGCCTTCGTAATAAACTTGATTCTAGCTATACCTTGCTCTGGAATATTCAATTACAACTTGGCCACACCCTTGAAGCGCTTTTTACAGCCGAGGCAGGACGGGCACAAGCTCTTGTGGATCTCATGGAATCGCAATATGGCGTGAGAAAGTCAATTCAGTGGTCGTTAAAACAGCCAATAGAACTGACGATGTCTAGCATTTCAAACCACATTTCATCACCTACGCTGTTTCTAGCAGAAGATCTAGAATCAGATCTAAAATCTGTGGTGAATTTCTGGTTAATTCAAACGGGTCAGCAATGTCACTTTACGATAAAGGAAATCAGTGAGAACTTGACATCGTTGACTTACAAAGCATACGAAAAGATTGGTGTCAACTTAAAAGTCAGGTGCGCAAATCGCTCCCTGGATGGGCCGGAAAATGAAGAGAAAGCATTAAAATTAAAGCAAGACAAGGATGGTGCTTTAAAAGCACTGTATGACGTAGTTATCGCTCCAATTTCACCCATGATAGAAGGTGAAGAACTCGTTTTTGTCCCTGACCGTTACTCATTCTTGATTCCTTATGCTGCCCTTGTGGACCAACATTCCAGGTATTTGTCTGAAACGCTAAGAATTCGATTGGCTCCATCACTAACATGCTTGAGGCTGCTGTCAGAGTGTCCGGAGGGCTACCATAGCAAATCTGGTGCGCTGCTTGTTGGTAATCCATGTTTGGAAACCGTACGCATCAAACCATGGAGAAACCTTCCGCAACTTCCAGGTGCTGAGAAAGAAGTGAAAATGATTGGACAGATTCTTAACATCGAGCCTCTCGTTGGTAAGGACGCTTCAAAAGAGAAAGTTTTAAGCGGGCTTTCCTCAGTTTCCTTAGTACACATTGCAGCTCACGGTTGTCCAGACACCGGAGGAATTATTTTGTCTCCTAACCTTGCTAGTTCGGACATTCCCGAAGAGAAAGACTTTCTTTTGACGATGGCAGATGTTTTGGAAGCGCAACTGCACGCCAAGCTTGTTGTCTTAAGCTGTTGTTACAGTGGGCAAGGTGCCATCAAGGCCGAAGGCGTGGTTGGAATTGCACGTGCCTTTTTGGGAGCCGGTGCACGTTCGGTTATTGCGTCACTGTGGGCAATTAGCGACGATGCCACTATGGAGTTTATGGGACACTTTTATGAACATTTGGTAGCGGGGAAAAGTGCAAGTAAGTCGCTTCATCAGGCCATGAAAACGCTACGCGAGTCTGGAAAATTCGATGCTGTCAAGTACTGGGCACCATTCGTGTTGATTGGCGACGACGTTACAATGAATTTTGCTCAATGAAAGGTGAGGTCCTCACTGTAACTAGTCTGCTTTACAGCCCTTATATTTCTAGTTCCCTATTGTTAAATTGAAGAGGAGTCATTTTTGCCCAAAGTTACATTTGGAAAACAAACAAAACGACCGAAAAATGGTCATTTAATCAACCGACGCTGTGTTGCGTCGCTTTTGTTGATACAGGAAAAAGTTGATCGTGTGATCCTGTTCTACTGCAGCTACATTGGACATTTTGACTGACTTAATTGCGTTACGCGATGCACTCGACTCACGGCCGGTAATTGATAAGTGAGTTTACGCAACAGGGGAAAAAGAGGCCAAAAAAGGGCTGGTGCGTGACAAACGTGAAGGGGCTATTACATGCGTGTTTTGTCGTGATCTTCATTTAACATTCATGTTTTCTAGTTGTTTACAAGATTGTGAAGAAGATCCCTTGTTTACAGAAAGGTGAAGTTTTACGGAAAGCATTTTCAAACAAAATTATTGTCAAGCTTGTCACAAAAGGTTTGTCGTCGTCCTTCCTCTCTCGTCCTGTTGCGGAAATTCACTATTCAAAATAAGGAGAGATATACCCCCGGGGTATAGTGCGACTAGCCCCTTATTTTCGTAAGGAATGGCAGAGCAAGCAAAATAAGCAAGCTCACGTGAAAATTAATACCCGCAAGGAAGGTTACTTCCCCACACGTGTCGCTTTACTCGCGGCTAGCACTTTTCACGCGTAGTGATCAATAGTGGCAGTGATCAATAGTGAGCAAGATAATACTGATACGTACTTTTAGAAAAAGTACCAAGTTTTCTTAGAAAATCCACTTTTAAGCATAAAACAACTAAATCTGGTCAAATAACATGCCAAGTTGGGTACACAAAATCAGCAATAGACTTTTGGGTTTTTGATTAAATTATTGTCTCGTTGTCCTTTCTCGTATAGATAGAGGAATATCATTCCAATAACATCCTCAGTTGAACAGAATTTTGTTATATTTATTCTTAGGTATTAGGATTTAGATGCTGTAAAGATGCACTTCTACAGTAACAGTTATTTTATACAGATACAAGGGTCACCGTGAAATTCCACGGCTTTTTTTTTTATCAATAACTAAAACTATTTTTAAGTACTGCAAGACTGCTTGAGATACTGCTCTTCAATTTTAAGAGATTAGTACAAATTACAATTGATTCTTTTGTCGCGGTTGGAAAACCAAGTATTTTGTCCCACGATCTTAAATTCAGTGTTAATCTATTTGAGCACAGCTACATGTATTTATAAATAGGTGGAAATTTTTAACTAAGTTGTCTTAGCATCTAGATTTATTACAGATTCACTCCACTACATTACAAGCAAATAATGAAATGAAATAAGCTAACACTACTATAAGAAAAAAAAAGTTGTGGAGAAGGAGACAACCAAAAGCACCAATGCGCCATACTAGGGATGCCCCTACTAATTAAAATATAAGAAAAATATATACAAATAGAAATATAAATGGTCTAGTTATCCTTAATAAAGCTTAAAACATTTCTTTTAAAAGTTGCAATACTGTTTGATGATTGGATAAACCATTCCATTCATTGTAATTTACTTTAGTTTTACAAATAGGGAAATACAACGCATTTTATCTCAGATTGGGTCTGTTCTCATTCCTCTAAGGCATTTACCTTCTCATTTAGCAGAAACTGCTTTCCAAGAAATGTAGTAGGGAAAATGGGAAACCCTGAGCACGAATAGCCAATCGAAACACCAGTTTTGGTTAATTTGGTTGAAGTTCCCAATAGAAGGCTCAAGATCAAGTTCTGAGCTGGTTAACAAAAGTTGATCAACCCAACCAATCAAAATTCTTTCTTTTCCCAATGAATCGGAACCTGAAAAATCCCAACCAACCCGAAATGGTTGATCCCAGCAGAACACGACCTCAATTTTACCATCTAAACCCCTTAGCTTTTTAGACTTTCAAATGCATGGAACGCGCTAATTGATTTTAAAACTAGGAAATAAATTACTACCGCTAATTCTCTTCCAAAAATTCCCTGCAGTGTGTCCAAAATGGATGACTTAAACAATCTACTATCTTCCTACAAACCACTTTTTTCTGGGGGTGGGGCACAAGGTAGTGCAGTTCAGTGACCCTGTTATCAGTTAGGTACTGAGACAAGTTGTTGTACCAGAAACCAACATCGCCAGTACCGTGTGCATCATCAGACAGGGTGAGTTTTGCACCAGACTCCACCAAGTACTAGGGAAAAACCAGGTACCAATTTTAGAAGCTTACATACACATGGCAAAATTTTATTTAGAGCCTGATGGTTACAGTCAAACCTACATTGCAATGCAAACTCAAAATTTTTGCGCTGTTAGCACTGCACCAATCACAACTAGGTTGCTAGGCACACCCTCAAATCTTCGGCACCATTTGAACAAATGAGCTCTAGTCCAATCAAAACTGCGTTACTGGGCAAACTTTTTCTTTTTCATGCCATCATCTTTCCGCCGAGTAGCAAGAAGACTTAAGGTGGATCTCCACATAAATTTTACGCACGTAAATGAAACCGAAGCAAATTATGACGTGTCGCAGGTAAATGTCAAAGTTGAGCGAGGTTCAACTTTTACGTTTACTCGCGAACTTTCATACATTGCCTCTAATATATTTACGCCTCTAATAAATGAAATAAAAGTAATGTATAGAAGGTCAAGCGCACACGTAAAGTTGAACCTCGCTCAACCTTTACGTGTGTGCGTAGCCTTTCAAACATTGCTTNTTCAGTGACCCTGTTATCAGTTAGGTACTGAGACAAGTTGTTGTACCAGAAACCAACATCGCCAGTACCGTGTGCATCATCAGACAGGGTGAGTTTTGCACCAGACTCCACCAAGTACTAGGGAAAAACCAGGTACCAATTTTAGAAGCTTACATACACATGGCAAAATTTTATTTAGAGCCTGATGGTTACAGTCAAACCTACATTGCAATGCAAACTCAAAATTTTTGCGCTGTTAGCACTGCACCAATCACAACTAGGTTGCTAGGCACACCCTCAAATCTTCGGCACCATTTGAACAAATGAGCTCTAGTCCAATCAAAACTGCGTTACTGGGCAAACTTTTTCTTTTTCATGCCATCATCTTTCCGCCGAGTAGCAAGAAGACTTAAGGTGGATCTCCACATAAATTTTACGCACGTAAATGAAACCGAAGCAAATTATGACGTGTCGCAGGTAAATGTCAAAGTTGAGCGAGGTTCAACTTTTACGTTTACTCGCGAACTTTCATACATTGCCTCTAATATATTTACGCCTCTAATAAATGAAATAAAAGTAATGTATAGAAGGTCAAGCGCACACGTAAAGTTGAACCTCGCTCAACCTTTACGTGTGTGCGTAGCCTTTCAAACATTGCTTCTATTTTATTTACGCAAGTAAAATTATGTGTGAGTGAAAATCAACCCTTAGACTTCAAAACAGCCCCATTCAAGTACGCGCGAAAAGTCAAACAAAAGGTCTGGAGCAAGGCTGAAACCGGAGAGCGAGACTAGGAGAGACTCTTACATGTGAGACTCTACTGACTGTTTTGCAGTCAAGTCCACTTTTAAATATTCTAAATGTTTCCAAAGCACATGCAAAGTCAGTGACGCCATTTTCAGCATTTCGCCTTTAGACAATTTTAAGTGATTTGAGAAATCTAAGTGTATTTTAGATATCGGCGGTGGTAGCTCAATTTGAGCCATTTTAGGTAACATTTAGTTCAATTTAGGTTATTCTTTCTTTTAGTAACTATGTCTCCGTAAGACACAGCACAAGGAAAACTGTTCACGTCATAGTGATGTAATGACGGCAAAGAAATGTACCAATAAGTGTGCCGTACGTGCAGAGTTCTTGTTTTGCTTATTAGGGGTCTATTAGCCAACATGGCCCACTTATAATGGGCTGGCTAGGCTTATGCCTTGTTTTGTGTTTATATGAGGAGGCGGGCTGGCCATAATGCTGAGATCTCGGCTCGAGCAACCGGGATCTCGGTAAGTCAGGATAGCCGCCTTCTCATATAAACACAACAAAAATTTAACATGAAAACAAGGCATAAGCCCAGCCAGCCTGGTAAAGCAGGCCAGGTTCACTCAACTCATATAAACAGGCTCTAAGCCTATTGCTGTCGCCTTCATCGCTGCTAAAAACTCCCTACTATCCCTCAGCGGACATAACTATATTTCACTTACCTCTAGAACTCTTTTATGTGGGTGTGGGTTTTTCAGTTTCTTTGATGGGGAAGCACCACTTGTGTTTATCTCAAACAATGCTCCATAAGATATGCCAAAGTCAACATTTCTGACAATCTTTTTCCAAATCATATCTGTAAATTCAAAATCAGGTCTGTACAACCTAATGAGGTCAAAATGGCCAATGACCTCAGGCTTAATTTCTTGCAATAGCTGATATTGTTGATCATAATATCGACACATAAGCAGCTCTGTTCCTCCAGCTAATTTTTCTGCTTTTTCATAAAGTTCTAGGCTGATGTCTGTTGGAATTCCATCAACATGATGAATGGATCCTACGATGTAATCTAGTTCCAGATCTTTTTTCAGTGTCTTTATCCTCTCAAAACAGTCTTTTCTAATAACATCAGTTTCGAAGCCAACGATGAGAGAAATTTTGTCCTTATACTTGTCCTGAAGACGCCTGGCTTCCTTGACAAAATCCTCAAAAATGCAACAGAGTTCAAAAGGTTCCATATTTTCCTAAAAAAGTAACATGAATCATAGTGTGATTTCATTTTCAGTTGTTATAGGGCACTTTTGAAAAGTCAGAACTGGCCCGCCAGACTGGTCACAAAAGAAAGACACTCACACTTCATTAATAAGGACACTAAGGGGGTCATAGAAAGTGTCCGTATTAACTGGGTGTCCATATTAAGTGGGTTGAAGATAGAAAAATTTGTAAGGGCTTTCTTTTCCCAGGGACAAAGCAAACTGTCCATAAAAAGTACATATCTGTATTAAAGCAGGGGTCCGTAAAGCGGGGTTCGACTGTACAATGATGTATTTCGGAATATTAGTCTTCTCACAAATTTTTATTAAACCCATCACTGTCTTGCACACATCATTTAGAAATAAACTGATCTGGCTGGATAGTCCTGATTAACCCTTTAAGTCCCAATATCCACATATAAATTCTCCATACTGATCTTCATACATTTCCTTAAAGAATTAGTTGAGAGAGTTTGTTAACAGATCAAAGCATTTTCTCTTTAGTGATCATTTTATTAACTCTCATAACAATTTCTCTTGGCAACATTATGGATATTGTCAGGAGAAAATCGATGTTGATCACTATTGGGACTTAAAAGGTTAATAGCGGAATTCTCCTGATGACCTAACTGGTTTTTGCCAATTCNCGATGTTGATCACTATTGGGACTTAAAAGGTTAATAGCGGAATTCTCCTGATGACCTAACTGGTTTTTGCCAATTCTGTTCTGACAAATGGAAAGCGCCCTTTAGGATTAAATATATTACTCCATGAATTTTACTGATTGACAGCAGTCTTGCATTGGTTGCAAATAAGATGGTACTGTGCAGTTTAAAAAATTTTGGGTGGGTCTTGATTTTTACATATTGCTGTAAGTCTTAGCCTGTTTCAGGCTCCAAGATAGTAATGTGCAGAGATCGTCAAAACTGATGCGAAAAACAGGTGGGGAATTTGGAGAGTGGAGGCCCACTTCTGCCAATCGGGTGCATCTTCTTTTCACTTGCCTTGTTTTTGTGACATCCCTAATATCATTCTGTGAGCTAAAGCCTGGTACAAGCTATATGAAACTGCAAAAACCAATTAAAACACGGCAAAATTTATTGCCCTTAGTTCAAAGAAGAATTCCTAAAATTTTTAATTGGGGTGAGATACATAGATATACAGTGTATATTGGGCATGAACAACAACTATAGAGTGACATTGATTTTTAATAGAAAGCAACAGGCCAAGTTTTTTAGATAAAATGTTTTTGTCACAAACAAAACTACACAGTACAGTAGGTCGCAGGCCATCTACCATCTAACCCCGCCCCCCTCCCACACTTTCCACCCATCTCTGATCTGTATGCCTAGAATGGTTTCAGCTTCTAACTAATTTACAGACTTCTTACTGCTTATTGCATTTAAAACTCTACATTTTTGTAACAAAATATAATACCAGACATAGCCATAGTAATAAGAATAATGTAGAGGGATAGTAATGAACAATGTATTGTTAAGCGTGTCATGATCAGGGTGGGGCATGCAGTGCTAGGATTGTTGTTTAATTTTGTTAATACTCCGCATCAGTCCTTTACTGGCACAGGAATGTATTAACTTCAAAGATGCAATGAACTTTACTGAAATGTCTCAAGTACAGGGCTGACGTCATTGCTATCCCGTGTATATGTTACAGGGTGGCTTTCTGTAAGGTATGGTGGATACTATAAATAAATTATCAGTGTGATGTGTGATCGGGTTTAAATTAGCCGTGATTGGAAATAGCCGGGTGGTGCATAATTTACTATTTTTATAACCTGTGATGCATGATTTTCCTTTTGGATTTCTGTGATTGGTGAATATCATGTGAAACTAGAAGCACAGACATTAAAAACAGATAGTCATGACATCATTTTTACTGGTCCTTTTTTCTTGTTTCTAAACAATACTGGTCAATATGGTTAACATTTGAACAACACCAGATTTCAGAGAATCCTTTTGTACAATTAAGATCAATTCAATTAACTACTCAAAAATGATTAAAAAATTTTTTTATTAATCATTAGAGCTGATTTAATCAATGGGTTGAGATCGATGTTGCCATATTAACCTTCTGCAATTGCACCTCATCTACCTGTACATTATGCTTGATGGCTAATTTTTTCCCTGTGATGAATGAACGCCTTAAAAAAGTCTGGTGATGTGTGAAGAGTATCCCTCTTAACTTGCCACCCTGATGTAAGTTTAGTAGGCAGGGAATTGAACATATAGGAACTTCTTTAGTTCTTAGTTTTGTCTTTTTTTTTCCTGTGAAAATAGTCATGCTCGTACTAGCCAGAAATTAATCCCCAGCCCCATCCATTAGTAACAGCCCTCAACCTGGTAACTATCTCCATCTTAATTTCAAGCATGGTCACAACTGACAAGTACCCCCTGTCCAGGAAATAAACTTGTGGCTCAGTCAACAACGTTATTTCAGTATTCCCACATGAGTACATGGAGTTACCTACATTATTTATGTTATAAATCTTACGGTAAATCAAAATAAAGGCTATAATGAAGAACAAGTTTTTGTCTATATTCCATACATGAATGTGTGCAAGCAGCTGTAAGTCTGTAGATATGAGGATTGACATTGTTAAACATGAAGAGGGTTTTTTCTTTGTTGTCAAAATTATGAAAATGGTGGTATCTTTTTCATGATGTTTCTGTAAAAGTTAGATCGAAGACTCTCATAAAGATTACAATTGAATGGAAAGTGTAAACCATGTTCAACTTCATTTAAGTGGCAGAAGGGGCAAATTCGAAGATTTTCCGGAGTTTTCAGTACTGTATGTCTGCCCGTTTCAATTTTTTAATTCCAAACAAGCCAATTTGCCCCCCAACCAGGCATTTGTCAGGTATTTGCCCTTTTTCCTTGGAAAGTTGGGCATAACCTAACCATGGGCAGGATTTCATGAGCTTAGTTGGACAGGCACTCGACTGCAGAGTGGGATGTTGTGGGTTTGATTTTTAGAGGCCAGACCAATACTCAGGGTATTAAACCAACTGAGTAACAAAGGTACTGCATTTGCCCTGCAAGTGGCTGGACCTTCACGTGGCTTGAATGACAAGGTAAAATGGCAGCCTCATTTCCAGTAAGAGACATTAAGATAGCATCCTTAATTACTATTTCCTTGCTTAACACACTGACATTTAAACGTACAGAATGTGTTATTCTTTTACCCCCAGCAAGAGGCTAGCAGATTCAAATAAGAACCTCATTGTAGGGTCATGGCCACGGCCCTTAAAACAAAGAAAAACTTACTTTTTCTTGAAAGAGCCTAAAGATTGCAAATTAGCATTATAATTGAGATAGTCAATTAGTGAATGCAACAGCATGCCCACAAGGCAAAATGTCAAGATAGTTTTTGATTAGTAGAACAAAACCTTCATTGGACTTTTATGGTTAACTTTAGATGCAGGGTTTTCATTTAGAATTCTAGAAGCAGGAGAAAGGTGTAACATTACAGGATAATGTTTGAAAGAGGCTCCACCTCTGAATAAAAAACAGTCATAGGTACCGAATGTTAGTCGGAGAATTCTGCATCGTAAACTGAGAACTCTCCGATGCCTAATGAACACCCTGAGATGGTTTTTCTGCATTTTCCTTTACTGCTTGTAGGGTACTATCAAGCTTTGCAAACAAGTACAATTTCACTTCAACTTCTTCTCCACAGTGGCTTGCTATTCCCTCTTAAATCTCTAGTAGTGGCCATTCTTACACTTTCTGCAGGCAAGTATTCAGGGAGGGTGAAATACAGAAATATATGTAGCTATCTAAATAGGCATATTCTAGAGGGAAATATTGAAAAAGGAGCGATGTTAACCGCTTCAAGAAGAATTGAAAAATGTAAAATCCCCGGGTAGAGGTTTTCAAACAAACCCCGCCACCCGGACTGATAAGACAACAGATGCCTGACAAATGGATGGGGACGGAGGGGGGATGGGCACACTTGGAATTGATTGAGCTATTATTTGGGTTTACCTCAGTGTATCAACCTGTGAACTTTTTCTTTGTTGTGCACCTTTTGTTTTCCTAGGTTCTCTTGTGTTGACTTCTTTCTTTCCTTTGTTTTACGTCACTCGAGAGTTTCACGGATAATACGCCGAGGATGAGCTCATTATTTTAGAGACTGGGGTATCTTAAAGATGGTAATGCTGTGGCACATTCCATTCTGTTGATACTGGCATTGGTTAGGCAGTGAGACTTACAAGAATTCGAGAGCTGGCAAAGTGTTTTAAATTTTTCTCAGACAGATATTGCATGCAAGTTGCAACATCCAGCACGTTTCCTTCAGCAAACGATGTAATAGATTTCAGCTGGATTTTATATAACAAGACACGCATCATTGCAACTTTCTTCTTTCAACAGATGACCACCGCATTTGAACTTTTTTTTATAGAATGTACCTACACTTCAGATATCTTGTTTTAGAAAAACAAAAGCTAAAATTACGTGCATCGCAGACAGACTTATTTGACAGCTAGTCATTTACAATTGCGTCATTTTTGCATAGATAATTAGTAGGCAGGATGGCAAAAACAATGGTTTCCTTGCAGGCGTTTCCTTCCCTCCCTCCTCACATGCCCCTCGTGTTTCTCTCTTGCCTTAAACTCCCTTTCCCTTCCCTTTCAAATGCCTGCCACGCAGGCTAATCCTAAAGTTAACCATCATACTCATCTGAAAGAGTCCTTTGTGTCTTAAATTTGGTAAGACCTCTAACCCTGCTGTAGAAAATTTGACACAAAGAAACTCTGAGTCTGGGCAGTGAACAATGAATGCTCTCAGCCACCAAATTTCCTCGTGTTTTTATTTGAGTTGTTCGTGACGCAATGCATTCTGGTAAAAAGTACCGCAATGCACTCTGTAGCCCACGAAAACATCTGTTTCTCCTTGCTCTTTGTAGCTGGGGACGTTTCGCGCGGAGGAATGTCTGCGACTCAGTGACAGAAATTCCATACTGATGACATAAAATCTGTCCGGAATCCGGTCAGAAGCGCTGATTGGTCGACGGGGTAGTTACATTGTTTTAGCTATTGTTTACGAATGACAGTCTTGACAGATAAAAGACAACAGGCCACAACGGTCAAATGTACATGTCACGGAATCTCTAACAAAACAGTCAATTTTTGTGGAATTTGTGAAATATATAGTCTTTTCTAGAAGAAGTATTTGAGTTTTGCTTGAGCTTGTTGGTAGATGAACACAACGGTATACCAAAATCGACCAGAAGACACATAAAATTGGACAAATTTATATTTGGAACTCATGATCTGACTACTGGCTTCATTATGTAAACATTGATTTGCGTCATCAGTATGGAATTTCTACCGCTGAGTCGCAGACGTTCCTCCGCGTGAAACGTCCCCAGCAGCGAAGAGCAAGGATGGTTAAATGCAATGCATTCTGGTAAAAAGTGATGAATTTACCAGAATTTCCCTTAAATCCCGATTATAATGCTGCTCGCTCCCTACGGTCGCTCCCCAGCAATAATCTTAACCTAAATCTTATTGTTGAAAACGATGAGCGCCGTACGCTTATCGGATGTTATAATGAATCTTCACTCAGTTAAGAAAGCGAAATAATAAATCTCACCTCTATTTCTTCTTCGTACAAATCTTCCGGCTCATACCGAGGCATGTGTTCCGAGAGTCCATAGTGGGTAAAACCAACTTCGATAGCCCTGAGAACTATTTCTTCTAGTTCACAAAAAGCATGTTTACAGAATTGTCCACTGTGACTGTGGGATGAAATAGGCATTATTTAAATGGAGACAGAAACTCATAAGGAGTTGAACAACCCCTTATAAGTTTCTGATGGAGAGCAAATAACGTCGTTTCCTTTCTTCGCCAGCACCGAAAAGCATTACTGAGTCTGCAAATTGTCAGCGGACTCCACCACAAACCGGAAATAAAAGTGGTATTTCACGCAATATTGTTCTTTGCGAGCTGTAAACACGGGCCGGAATGCGTCCAATAAGAATTACCGGTTGGTATAGCATCTGTCATTTTCAACCGCGATCAGCCAACAAAAGCGCTTTTTTCACGATGTTGATCACTATTGGGACTTAAAAGGTTAATAGCGGAATTCTCCTGATGACCTAACTGGTTTTTGCCAATTCTGTTCTGACAAATGGAAAGCGCCCTTTAGGATTAAATATATTACTCCATGAATTTAACTGATTGACAGCACTCTAGCATTGGTTGCAAATAAGATGGTACTGTGCAGTTTAAAAAATTTTGGGTGGGTCTTGATTTTTACATATTGCTGTAAGTCTTAGCCTGTTTCAGGCTCCAAGATAGTAATGTGCAGAGATCGTGAAAACTGATGCGAAAAACAGGTGGGGAATTTGGAGAGTGGAGGCCCACTACTGCCAATCATGTGCATCTTCTTTTCACTTGCCTTATTTTTGTGACATCCCTACTATCATTCTGTGAGCTAGAGCCTGGTACAAGCTATATGAAACTGTAAAAATCAATTAAAACACGGCAAAATTTATTGCCCTTAGTTCAAAGAAGAATTCCTAAAATTTTTAATTTGGGTGAGATACATTGATATACAGTGTATATTGGGCATGAACAAGAACTATAGAGTGACCTTGATTTTTAATAGAAAGCAACAGGCCAAGTTTTTTAGATACAATGTTTTTGTCACAAACAAAACTACACAGTACATGAACGTGTGTAAGCAGCTGTAAGTCTGTAGATATGAGGATTGACATTGTTAAACATGAAGAGGGTTTTTTCATTGTTGTCAAAATTATTAAAATGGTGGTATCTTTTTCATAATGTTTCTGTAAAAGTTAGATTGAAGACTATCATAAAGATTACAACTGAATAGAAAGTGTAATCCGTGTTCAACTTCATTTAACTGGCAGAAGGGGCAAATTCGAAAATTTTGCGGAGTTTTCAGTACTGTATGTCTGCCCGTTTCAATTTGTAATTCCAAACAGGCCAATTTGCCCCCCAACCAGGCATTTATCAGGTATTTGCCCTTTTTTCCTTGGAAAGTTGGGCATAACCTAACCATGGGCAGGATTTCATGAGCTTAGTTGGACAGGCACTCGACTGCAGAGTGGGACGTTGCGGGTTTGATTTTTAGAGGCCAGACCAATACTCAGGGTGTTAAACCAACTGAGTAATAAAGGTACTGCATTTGCCCTGCAAGTGGCTGGACCTTCACGTGGCTTGAATGACAAAGTAAAATGGCAGCCTCATTTCCAGTAAGAGACATAAAGATAGCAACCTTAATTACTATTTCCTTGCTTAACACATTGACATTTAAACGTACAGAATGTGTTATTTTTTACCCTCAGCAAGAGGCTAGCAGATTCAAATAAGAGCCTCACTGTAGGGTCATGGCCATGGCCCTTAAAACAAAGAAAAACTTACTTTTTCTTGAAAGAGCCTAAAGATTGCAAATTAGCATTATAATTGAGATAGTCAATTAGTGAATGCAACAGCATGCCCAGAAAGCAAAATGTCAAGATAGTTTTTGATAAGTGGAACAAAACCTTCACTGGACTTTTATGGTTAACTTTAGATGCAGGGTTTTCATTTAGAATTCTAGTAGCAGGAGAAAGGTGTAACGTTACAGGATAATATTTTGAAAGAGGCTCCACCTCTGAATAAAAAATAGTCATAGGCTACCGAATGTTAGTCGGAGAATTCTGCATCATAAAATGAGAACTCTCCAATCTCCGATGCCTAATGAACACCCTGAGATGGTTTTTCTGCATTTTCCTTTACTGCTTATAGGGTACTGTCAATCTTTGCAAACAAGTACAATTTCGCTTCAACTTCTTCTCCCCAGTGGCTTGCTATTCCCTCTTAAATCTCTAGTAGTGGCCATTCTTACACTTTCTGCAGGCAAGTATTCAGGGAGGGGGAGGACAATTATTTTGCTAGAACTCAAAGTTTGTGGTAACACATCTTTCTTTAATTAGCTTGTAATCATGAATGTTCACACGTATATGCCATAGATTTATCCATTTTAAAAGTGCAAGAAGAAATACATGAAAGTCCACTATGACAAATTCCCACCTCCGAGCAGGCCATTTGATGACAAAAGCCCAACATGGGAAAAGTGGGAACATACAGTGAACATGGGACTTAACTGACTGGCTAATACCTGGAAAATGCCTGATGGGGAACGGGGGTGCAGGGCAAGCTTGATAGGGTGGTGATGGAGTGAAAACCACTGTCTTGTATCATTTTAAACATATTTATTAACAATATTTTTTACAGAAATATATATAGCTATCTAAATAGGCATATTCTAGAGGGAAATATTGAAAAAGGAGCGATGTTAACCGCTTCAAGAAGAATTGAAAAATGTAAAATCCCCGGGTAGAGGTTTTCGAACAAACCCACCACCCGGACTGATAAGACAACAGATGCCTGACAAATGGATGGGGACGGAGGGGGGATGGGCACACTTGGAATTGATTGAGCTATTATTTGGGTTTACCTCAGTGTAACAACCTGTGAACTTTTTCTTTGTTGTGCACCTTTTGTTTTCCTAGGTTCTCTTGTGTTGACTTCTTTGTTTCCTTTGTTTTACATCACTCGAGAGTTTCACGGATAATACGCCGAGGATGAACTCATTATTTTAGAGACTGGGGTATCTAAAAGATGGTAATGCTGTGGCACATTCTGTTGATACTGGCATTGGTTAGGCAGTGAGACTTACAAGAATTCGAGAGCTGGCAAAGTGTTTTAAATTTTTCTGAGACAGATATTGCATGCAAGTTGCAACATCCAGCACGTTTCCTTCAGCAAACGATGTAATAGATTTCAGCTGGATTTTATATAACAAGACACGCATCATTGCAACTTTCTTCTTTCAACAGATGACCGCCGCATTTGAACTTTTTTTAATAGAATGTACCTACACTTCAGATATCTTGTTTTAGAAAAACAAAAGCTAAAATTACATGCATCGCAGACAGACTTATTTGACAGCTAGTCATTTACAATTACGTCATTTTTGCATACATAATTAGTATGCAGGATGGCGAAAACAAAGGTTTCCTTGCAGGCGTTTCCTTCCCTCCCTCCTCACGTGCCCCTCGTGTTTCTCTCGTGCCTTAAACTCCCCTTCCCTTCAAACGTGATGAATTCGAGAATTCGTCTTACCTTATTTATTTCCCTTAAATCCCGATTTTGTTGCTGCTCGCTCCCTACGGTCGCTCCGCAGCAATAATCTTAACCTAAATCTTATTGTTGAAAACGATGAGCGCCGTACGCTTATCGGATGTTATAATGAATCTTCACTCAGTTAAGAAAGCGAAATAACAAATCTCACCTCTATTTCTTCTTCATACAAATCTTCCGGCTCATACCGAGGCATGTGTTCCGAGAGTCCATAGTGGATAAAACCAACTTCGATAGCCCTGAGAACTATTTCTTCTAGTTCACAAAAAGCATGTTTACAGAATTGTCCACTGTGACTGTGGGATGAAATAGGCATTATTTAAGTGGCGAGCAAATTTCCACATCTATTAAACTTCGTTTCCTTTCTTCGCCAACACCGAAAAGCATTACTGAGTCTGCAAATTGTCAGCGGACTCCATCACAAACCGGAAATGAAAGTGGTATTTCACGCAATATTGTTCTTTGCGAGCTGTAAACACGGGCCGGAATGCGTCCAATAAGAATTACCGGTTGGTATAGCATCTGTCATTTTCAACCGCGATCAGCCAACAAAAGCGCTTTTTTCACGCAAGCATAAGCGCGTATCAAGTACATGTAGCGCTGAAAAATTGATCGGGGCTAAACAATAGGGTTTTGCATAATATACTTAAGCCAGCGATTCCGTGGAAACATGTGCGTTCTCCTGTACCGGGTGGGGCGTAGCGGGCTGATTCGCTCCACGTTTTTGCGTTTCTCGCCATTTTGGACATAAAAAGGACCACATTTTAGGATTTTAGGAAGGTTGAGGGAGCAGAATCAATAAATTTTAAAATTTCACTAAACAATTTTTTTCGCGTTTTTGCCGATTTTAGGCCATTTTCGGACCTCGAACGACGTTTAAGGCCCATTCTGAGGCAAAGATCGAAAATCGGAAGATTGCTCGATTTGTTTTGGATTCTGCTAAATTTCCACTAAGAGAGAAACTTCGAAGCCTTTTCGGACATAAATCTGCACTGCGACTGCGCAGTGGGTCACTGAGCATGCGCAGTTAGTCCCAGTGTTAAATTTTGGAACGGAGAAGCGGGCAAGTTTAAGATGGAACAGGCTCCACTCCATGGCGTTTGAAGAAGGGTCCACACAGAAGGCCCTAGGTTTTGGCTTCCTCTTCATGGGAAATGGAAAAAGCTAGCCCATTTCCTTCGGAGACAGGCGACGCGTTTCGGAAAGGCTCAGAAAATGTACCAACTTTGCGTTTTACGCTCTCACTACCTGCCAGCGACGACAAAACCTGCCCCGAGTATTCGTTTCTGGACCTCGTAAAATCCGCTACTCGCAAGGTAGGCGAATCTTTCAGCCATTTTTCAGTACAGTCCTTTTCTCTAAAGCGGAGACAATTTCGTGTGCGAAGAACATCAGTGTGCATTTTTTTAACCGCTGTTAGAATGGCCGTGATTTTGATTCCCGAAGAGTGAACTCAATTTTTTCTCTCTCACTCCAGTCCGGCGAAACTCCAGAGAAAACTCTATGGGACGATGAAGATGGAGATGATGAAAAGCTCAGAGCCTTGGCAAAGAAATTTGAGCAGAAATACGTAAGTTGTACACACCGATGCAAAGTCAATACGTGTTTTTGTTCGAGGCTTAAGATTCCTTAGGAACCCTTTGCCGAGCAAAAATTTACCGAGTATGAATACTTGAGATCAAAATTCGTTTTTCTCTTTCACAGGCTCCAAAACCTACATCCAAGAAGCGAAGGAGAGATCGCATGGAGGTAAACCAAAATACTACTTGTGTGAAGTTTATTCCCCGGTTTTAAATTTAGTTTGCAAACATCAATAAGCTTAAATTGGCTTCTCTGCGTCGATCAAGAACACGTTCTTACAAATACTGATCTTACGAAATTGTGTTTTGACATGGATTATAACCATACTAATTGCTTTTAGAGTAGAAGTTTTTTAGCTTTTTTGAAAGAATACCGGTGCTGTACGGGGGTGTATTGAAGCCGTGTGTGTAGAATTATGCGAGCACTTGTTTAGTGTAGTGCCTTCCTTATGTTACTAATTCATTGTCCTTTATGACATGACCCTGTTGTTAATACTCGCTGCCTTTTCAGGGATTCGTAAGTCGTTTTTGACTTTGTGCTATTGTTTTCTAAGTATTTAAAACTCCAAATCCATGGTTTTGTGTATTGTCTTTTCTAGTTTCGGTGCCACAATATTCAATGACACTTTGCTATATTTACATCTCACGAAAATGTCGATTTCTTGCGTTATTTACAACTATAAACGTGGACCCAGGAAAAGAACAGATCTTGTTTATAACTCAAAATTACGATAAGCGTGATTCATAATTTCTTTTCTCTTCCATTCTGTAAGGTCTTGGCTCCCTCCGTTATATTTCTCTCAGTTCACCCTGATTTCTTTAATACAGGAAATACGAAGAAGAGTCCGTATTTCTAGTTTCCGGTAACACACTTAAAAACAGATTGAATAAATTGCAGTTTAAAATTGAAAAGGGCTAAATATCTACATATCTGCGTATTATTTGTCGTCTTATATGAAACTTTCAAAATTTCTTCTGCAATTCTTTTGGCATTTCGGTGGCAGAACGTTGTAAAAAAAATAAGCTACGGTAGTTTTAACTTTCACTGAAACTGGAGAGGGGAAATAGAAATTTCGGTTTTTAAAATGAGCCCAGTTTCACAAAATAACGCATTATTGATAACACTGCAAAGTTTCAGCAATCCGTTTAAAAGCTTTCCAAGATTTCCCGGTAATTTGAAAGGACAAGCTGCAGCTTGCCGTGGAAAAATTTCTTCCTGCATATAAAAAGCGATTTCTTATTTTGAGGGAAAATTTCTAAACCCTTTAGTGGATCAGTCAAAGACGATAAATTTTCTAGCCCTTGCTACAAACCTATATAGGAGATCTGGAGGTACAAAACCCTGCATCAACTTGGTTTAAACTTAAGACCTTTGTAGCTGGAGTTGACTCTGCATCTTATGGTAATCAATATTTCCAACATCCAGTTTGTTCTGGTCTTTTACATTTGTAAGCTTCTTCCAATGCATTTCCTTTAAATACTTTAGGCAAAAATGTTGTTACGATATTTACGAGAGAGGTTGTCCATAATATACTCCTAATTGGTTAACTACTTCAAAAGCAAGTATAAACCCAATGGAATTCAGAGGTCACTCCGTGAGGCATATTATTAATCTTGTTAGCATTCCACTTATTGATGTATTGGTATTTTCCAGTTATTAGTAATAATTTTTATAATAATGTCTTTGGTCTTATAATTATTGTGTTTTTTTCACCTATCTAATTTAATCCACTTTTTTCTGGTATGTTTGTTTTAGTTTTATTTGCTTTTATGTCTAGATATAAGGTCTATATACTCATGACATTTTTCATCATGTAAATAGTAAATTAAACAGACATTTTACTTCTGATATCATTTTTTTCAATCTTTATTGTTGAAGTTGGTATTGAATTCTTCTTAAAAACTTGATTCTCAGAGAATTATTATTGTTCTTAGAGCATGTTGGATTTTTGTAATACTTTGGTGCACAATGGATTCAGCCAATTCTGTCTTTGTCAGATTACATTTTCCCTGTTCATAAAACCCTACCCTTTGATTGTTAAGGGTGTGTTTGACTCTAGGAATCACTTATTTTGGCATTCATCGGCATTGCAATATCCAGAAATATGCTTGAAATAAAATATCCTGATGTATGTAGCTCTTAAGTGGTCCAAAAGTCACATTACAAGAGATTTGCAACAAACCTTTTGTATATTCTTATTCAAGAATATTTTATGAACAATCAAACACACCCTATGTGATAGTTATACAGCTGGAAATTTTTTCCCAACAGTGCAGGCTCTCATTGGTTACTTTAAGGTCACATGACATCTAACAATGAAAATGTTTTCCACCAGAATCTCAAATCAATCAAATCCTTGCAGGAAACCAGTAGTATCTCAAATCAATCAAATCCTTGCAATGAAACCAGTAGTTTAGCAAATTAGAAACAATGGCCAGATTTGTTGTTTTTTGTGCTTGGAATGACATCAGGTAGTTGCTCTAGTACAACTTTTTACCGTTGCCTTTCTAGGATTTGATTGATGTAACGTATGGCTATGATGAAACAGATCCATTTGTTGATGACAGTGAAGCTGTGAGTTCCTCTTTACATGTATTTTAGAGATAATATTTTTGGGCTGGTAGATTTTGGTCTTTTAAATTGATATTATTTTTATTTCAATCAATTGCATACAACCAATGAAGATGATGTTTTAGGCAGTATTGCAAGTCATACTTTTTATTCGCAATAGATATAAGATAATATTAATCCTTCTAGATTTGTCAATTGACATTCATGTACTGTAGTTTCAACTCTAAGAGTCTTTGAGCAGAGTCCTATGGCATGGCCATTCAAGTCAAAGCATTTGTACATGTATTATTGTTTTTCAAAATGAAACTGAAAATTTCTGTAATAGATTTTGGCTTGTGAGGTGCTTTCGAGGAATTTAAACCCCTGGCATCAGAAATCGGCTCCAATCCTGGAATGAATGATTAAGAAACTTTTTCAATTTATTGTTCTAGTATGATGAGCTGTTACCTGCAGACTGGACTACAGAACATGGTGGATTTTACATAAACCAAGGTGCACTTAACTTTCGACCAGTATCTCCAGGTGGTGAGAGGTAAAATGTTATGCTTGCATAATAAATAGTATGTGTATTTTGATGAAGTTCTTGGGTTCAAGGGCTTCATTCTAGCAGTACATGTACCTGGTGGCCCCCAGCTCCTTATGTGTTGCTGTGGGGTGACTAGGAAATGTTAGGGTTTTAAACCTATGCAGGGCACCATGAATTTCACATGCTCGGAGCACTGGCCTCTCTTTATTTTTGTTAGGGCACAACCTTGGGTTCTGTTTGAATTTTTTTTGGCTTGTCATTTATGTAGCTGTGGTTCTGTGTTTGGTTGCACCATATAATTAGCAATTAATGAGTGAGGCTGAGTATCATCTGAAGAATTATAGAGATTGAGGAGGGTGCTGCTTGGCGGATAACACCCTTCAAGATCTCCATAATTTTTCAGAATATACGAAAGCTGAATTCAATAATATTATTGCGTATATTATTCATTCAAAATAATTTTGTAGTTTAAAAACAAGCTAAACATGCTTACCCCATCAATGTTAAATTCATCTTCAATAGTTTAGGAGATAAAGAGTTGTTCAGTTTGCAAATATTCCCCAAATAGCAGGGTTGTCTTCTTGTTGTTCTTGCTATATTTTTAGTGAATAGTTTGCCTACTTCTTCCCCATGAAACAACTGAAACGTTCCGCTATTTTGTACTCACCACCAAAAACAACTCAACCTTGTCCCAAGGCCTTCTTGGTTAACCATTCAATAATCTAATCATCCGGCAATTTTGCTGCATGACTGATGCCATCAGTTCACATATCGCAAAATTCTTCTACAGTAGCTGGTTATGATGAATTGCGCGTGGGATTTTGGCCAATCAGAAACAGAGAAATATTGTAAGACCCCCCCCCCCCTCCCCCCACCCCCTTGACTTGACCTGACTTGCATTGAAATGAATTTGATTTATTAATTATACCGTTTTGATTAGCACTGTTAGCTTTTTTTGAACTTCGTTTTCTATTCTGGTTATAAGCCTTCTCAGATATATGCATGCCCGTTTAATATTCCTCCTTGTACAATGTAGTCTGCTACACAGCCGTTTTTAGTGTCGTCACGCAACGCTCCTCCCCACTAATGGCTGCTGAAAACCGAACTACATTCCTTTCCCGTGATTAGCCATTTATAATTCAGCTCCCATATTCTGGAAAGTGTTCGCGCCACGTTTGCAGTACTGTGACTCCTCCAATCACAGCTTTGCTTTTATCGGTGCCCCATGTGTGAATGACAGAATAATCAAAACGTCGCGTGAAAACAAGCAATTTAATAACTAGAGTAGTGTTGTCGTAGTCGAGTCCTATTTAAAATTTAGGAGATAAGCACCAGCAGCAAGCAAGTCGAGCAAATTGTGATGCACTACATGGATGTGCTCATAAAGTTGCCAGGTATAGTTCGGGAAATCGCTCATTGATAATTTAAAAGGTTGCTTTTTGAATCAGTACCCTTGAGAGTTTAGTATTCACAGGAACACAATAAGCACATCCGGCACATTTAAATTCTTCATCACATATCAGTACATATGCACGTTAAATGAAGAACCAACCGATCCTGGTAAAAGTCTTGTAGGCCAATCAAACCTTTCTTTCACTTGGAACTTTCTTGACCGCTTAAAACAAACTTTTTTGCAAATTAACCTTTTCGTTGCTTGAAAACACAGAGGCCGTCTAAATTCAGCGACGATTGATTGATTTGTCGAAAACTGAGAATCGTGCTCGCTTCCTAGCGCCCCGCGGCTCACGTATTGTCAAACTTCTTGTGCATGATTGGCTTGTTCGTTAGACCACAAACACAAAGGGAAAGGAATGTAGTTCGGTTTTCAGCAGCCGTTAGTGGGGAGGAGCATTGCGTGACGACACTAAAAACGGCTGTGTAGCAGACTAGGTACAATGTAGCTTATTGTCACCTTCAAATCTTTTGTATATTAGCGAAGAGGACGAGGGAGACTTTCAGAAACCAAAGAAATTGAAACTCAAGTCCCCAAAGGTACATTTAGAAAGGAAATAAGACTAGGCATAGAGCGGTTTTCATTTGAGTGTCGAAAAGTAATTGGTTTTGCACTTTCTACACGATGCGATTGCTTAAAAGATTCGCGCCACCTTTTCATCCAATCAGAAGTAAAACCAAAGCCAATTGTGACGCGCTCGCATGCATTTTCCCGCGCTTTGCGTCAGCCACATGTAATTACTTCGAGTTTTGATTGGTTCAATGTATTGTCTGTGTCTTATGTGATTGGCCAGAGTAATTACTTTGGTTTTGGTTTTACGACATTCAAACGAAAACCACTCTATATGGTAAATACATGTACTGCAGATGTTATAGGAAATCTTATCATTATTCATCATGCTGGAGTAAAATATTAATTACGTTTATTAAAGTTTTGGCATTTGGCTCAGCTACTGTTTGTACATGTACAATGTAGTTGCTTGTGATGCAGACTGTGACCTTTTGATAGCATACTGCTAGTCTTCATCAGGCAATAAGGTTAGTTAGTTACATGCCACTTTATAGAACACAAAATTATGTGGTGTGAATGGTTGGTCTTTTTGCAACTGGGATAGTGGAATAAAGATCCCACAGCATGGGTGCTGATAAGAGCTGAACAAGACTGGACTGCCAAGAGAACAGCTGGCTGAAGTAGCAAGGATGAAAGCATGCTAATCACAGCTGTGGAAAACCAAAAGTTCACAGCAGAAAATGATATTGTGCTTTTTAAATTGACATTTAACCCGTCAACCTCATTGCCTGATGTACATGTAGACTTTCTTAGTTTGTAGTTGAAACATCTTGATTTCTTCTAACCCCTGAAAATGTAAAAACCTACATGTACATGTATGTATGGAACTTTAATAGCCATGTGTATAAGAATTTCATGAGTTCCTTTTTGTGAACCTTAATTACAGTTCAAATTATCCAGAAACTATTATTTGGTCTGTACAGTCAGAACCTCAGAAAATCTGAGTGTTGTTTATGATTTTTATCCACTCCAAATTCAAGACTACAGGATATAAATTTGAGATAAAAGTAGTTCTGACTGGTAAGACATTTTTATTTCGAACTGACAAAATCATAAAGTCTATGTATTATTTCAAAGAAGAAAACTATATTGTAACTTCACACATACCTTTAAAATATGTATGTTTTAAGGCAAGTTAAAGGATGAGGAAACTTCTCTTTACCCTTAATTTTCTGCTTTAGGGCTCTTCCTCACTTGCATGTGCCTCTTCCTTCTTCTCTAAAGCAAGATAAATTTATGCTTTTCAAAACAATTCTTTTGCTTAGAAAATGCCAAAGGTGCCCAAAGTAAAGAAAGTTAAGGTACCCGGTGAAAAGAAAGAGAGAAAAAAATCAGGAGACAAGGAGAAAAAGCCAAGAAAAAGCTCCAGGTAAGTAGTTGCCGGTTTTAACAATAAGCCATCAATTTGCACATGTATAACTAATTTTCCCTTAGGAGATTTGTAGGGCATTAAAAGAATTTGAATTTCAACTTGTCCTAACAGGGCCATATAGCAAGCCTTTAGAAACTAGGGGCACAAAGCCCAGGGGGGTACTCCTAGGAATTCTTGGTGGGGTTGAGCCACCCAGTTCTCCAAATCCTGACCCTATTTCAGACCAAAAAATGTCATTTTTCACACCCATTTCAGACCTGGCCTCTAAAATCTAGACCCGTTTTCAGACCTGGCATATATGCAGAAATTATTTCATCATTACTTAGATTAGAACACCAACAAAAATATTTCTTAAAATCTATTTCGAATTTGCATAATTATTACTCATTCTTTCATATTCATTTGGAATTGAAATGACAAATATGTTCATGCACTCCTGTATACCCTCAAAAACCATACCCGAATTCAGACCAAATAGGCAAAGTCCATACCTGTTTTCAGACCAAAATGTCACAAAAACCATACCCTTTGGGGCAGCATATGCCTATAAGGGATTTTACATTTAGGTAGGTTATTGTATTTGAAAAGCAGAGGGTTTTGGATCTGAAGGACCCATTGGACTGGTCTCTGTATCTTAAAGCCAGAAAATGTTTAACCTAGCGCAGAGACATCATTGTCTCAATGCTCTGGGAGATGAATATTCATTTTCAACTTTTATGCGTGCATGTTTTGACTTTTCGGGGCAAAAAACTCAGGGAGGCACAGGGCACCCCCGTCTCCCCCACAAGCCACGGCCCTGCCTAAGTACAAGCAAGTTCAGCTGCTTCCTCAGCTGTGCCATTGTGTCATTGTCTAAGTGTACAGATGATTAAGTTCCAGAAAATGTCTTACCTGGGACTTTGTCTGTTGAACATATGAGGAAGTTACTTTCCTCGTATGAAAAACTACTCGTCCCAGATGGCTGAACAGGTCTTTTTTTGAGCCCTGTCTTGGCATGTCCTCGGAAGTACATGTAGATTCTTAACTTAAATTCTTAAGGTTTTCACAATGGAGGTACTTCCTAATGATTCAGTTTGTTACCAAAGTAACATGAAACCACCGAAAAAGGACAGATGTGAATTACTCGCAATAACACGCAGTAAACTTTTGCTTTTACATTTTAGTGGTGAAAAGGAAAAGGAAAAGAAGGAGAAAAAGCACAAGAAGAGGCTAAGTTTAGGAAATGCAAACATCGTAAACATGCTGTCTTCACCATCTTCCTCAGCAAAAAACACTTCTACGACAGTCTCTTCAAACTCAACGTTAACTACTGGAGGATCACAAGGGACGAACAATGTTACAGTGAACAGTTCTTCACCACAAAAAGTACAGAGTTCATCGCAGCAAAGTAATCAAGGCATTGTTAAAACAGAGCCTGGCATGGTAAATGGCAGTAGCAGTGCTGTTACAACTGAAGAAAATGCATCTGTGACAAAGAGTGACTCTTTGCTTACTTCAACACTTCAAAATGGAATCTCAATGGGAGAGGCAAGCTCGTCAGAGATAGCTGAACCTAGCCTTCCCCAGTGTTTACCCACTGATGTAGAAGCTTGCATCATGAGGTTGAAGCAAGCGGGTACTGATGGCATTACTGAGGGAAAGTGCAAGTTCTTTAACTCTGATGTAAATCATATGTTACTGGAGTGAGTTCCTTTTTTTAGATTAATTAATTGGTGTTTGTAATAATTAGAAGGTGTTACATGTACTCATGTGTTGTATCAGAGTTACTTTAGTTTTAGAATGGCGTACATTCCAGGATGAATTTGTACTGACATAATAATTCCGTCATCTGCACCATCTTTGTCTTCCATCTTGAAAATGTCATGCATGCGTCACTCACATTAGACCACATGGTTTTCAATGTTCAGTTTAGAAACATGACACTAGAATGACATGTCATACTAAAATGAGAATTTTGTTCAGACTGAAAACCAAAATGATGTCATTAGTGGCTTGTNAACTGAAGAAAATGCATCTGTGACAAAGAGTGACTCTTTGCTTACTTCAACACTTCAAAATGGAATCTCAATGGGAGAGGCAAGCTCGTCAGAGATAGCTGAACCTAGCCTTCCCCAGTGTTTACCCACTGATGTAGAAGCTTGCATCATGAGGTTGAAGCAAGCGGGTACTGATGGCATTACTGAGGGAAAGTGCAAGTTCTTTAACTCTGATGTAAATCATATGTTACTGGAGTGAGTTCCTTTTTTTAGATTAATTAATTGGTGTTTGTAATAATTAGAAGGTGTTACATGTACTCATGTGTTGTATCAGAGTTACTTTAGTTTTAGAATGGCGTACATTCCAGGATGAATTTGTACTGACATAATAATTCCGTCATCTGCACCATCTTTGTCTTCCATCTTGAAAATGTCATGCATGCGTCACTCACATTAGACCACATGGTTTTCAATGTTCAGTTTAGAAACATGACACTAGAATGACATGTCATACTAAAATGAGAATTTTGTTCAGACTGAAAACCAAAATGATGTCATTAGTGGCTTGTACCGGAACAAATTTCCATCTTGGTACATGTATCATGCAAATAGATCAGAGAGATTTATGGAGATAGAATGAACTTGTTCCTGAATGAAATTCATCTCATTATCATTTGAATAGCCCCTAATCCTCATTTTGCATTTTTTTTCCTACTGTGAAAGCAGTTATTACTACATATTAAGCAACTACAGCATTACTGACAATGAGCCATGTTTAATTATTTTTTTACTGGGTTTTGGCCATCTTTGCCTGTTCTGCTGGTGAAGCAAGGACAGCACCGTGTTATTATGCTTTCATCTTGACATTACCATTATTTTTTACTTCACCCTACACAACTGTACATGTACTGCTGAACTTTAACTGATTTAGAGGAATCCTTGAAAAAGTGTATGCTTTTAACAATCTTTTTTAATAATGTAGTTTTGGTTATCATGATCATATCCTTTATTGAAACAGGATAGGATTTAAAGCTCAATGCTTGTGGGGTTGTGTAAAAATAATCACCAGTTTTAGTTGAATAAAAATGGAGACCTGAACGTTACTTGAACTTTGACTCTCTTTTAGGCTTGAAACCAAGTCAAGAGCTCTCAGCAGCAAAGTACGATCGGTAAGTTCTATAATTATTTTTATTAATATTATAATACATTGTACTCAGTATCTGTCTTCTCATTGGCTAAGAGGCGAGCCTACAGCTAATTTGGAAATCAACAACAACCTACAGATTAGTTGGTTATCTGCTAACAGGCAACTAAATAAGCTGTTGGTTGTGAATGTAATGCCTGATTTCCTATGACCATATCAATTCAGGTTCCTTGCGACGGTGTGTTTGTCATTATTTTCTTCAAAACAATGTATAATAAGACAATTATTAGATTTGGTTTTAGTGATATCCTAAATAATCGAGGTCTCGGTAAGTATCATCATCCTTGGCCTTCGGCTCGGCTGATAACACTGACCTCGACCTTGATTATTCCAGATTATCACAAAAACCTCATCCAATAATAATTTTTATCATCATGTTGATTATTCCCATTTTAGTTGTAATTGTTTCATGCAATTTCCAAATTATATGTAATGTAATGTACATTTTTTATTTCCTTACTTTTTCAGGGAATCTATGAATTTTTGGCATTTTACCTGCCTTGCACAAAGGAGACTTTGTTAAAAAGAGCAAAGAATCTTCTCTTAAATGATCAAGTGAGTTGAAGAGCTGGAATTATTGCATCCGGCCTTTCTCCAATCAGCTGCTTTAGTTGAAAGTTATTTAAATTCTCTTAATTTGTAACATGCCAGTCAAGAAATCGAACCACTTGAAAATCCTGCTAGCGAGCTGGTTCTATTTACACGGTAGTATTAACTTTCTGTCATACCTAATAACAATAATGTTTTGTAGGCTGGCAGATTAAGAGAGCCAATGGCCAAACTCAAAGCAGGTAAGTCACCTCTCTATTAAAGCTGACTTTTCCAAAGCCAAGAATATTAACTAGTTTATGATTAATCTTGTCTCATGAGAATTCCATATACTACAATCATGACATTTTAACCACATGCTGCTGATTTTCATCAGGCCTTAATGGTTTTGATTTATTGAGTACTACTAACTATTAGTAGACTGTTCACACTCCCCTATTTTTTGTTTCGTAAGATCATCAGGATCAAGCACTTACCTGTTCTTACCTGTTTAGGCAGCCATCTTGCTTTAGACTTGGAACATTGCAACCAAGATGGCCACCCGTAGAACAAAGCCCTCCATATATCTCAATAATCTTACGGAAAAACGGGACTGCAAACTGGTGCTTTACGAACTTCACTCATTGTTCAACTACTTGCAGGCTCTTTCTTAAAAAAAAAGTGATGTCAGACTCAACTGGCTGGGATTCCTGTGGTATTATTTAGATGAAACTGTTGATGTTGTGAGATCTCTGCTGTATGAGGTGGCAAGGGGTTTAATAATAATGTTTTGTTCTTGTGTCATGTTTAGCTGTGGATCGAGTTATTCCTGAGCAAATTAAGAGATTTGAGGAAGAGGTCAGGCAGCATGTGGAAGAAGAAAGCAAAAAGCAAGGGTAATAAAATTTTAATCATTTATTTTTTTGTTGAAATGTTACTTCTGAGTTTAGATGCTTAACTTACTTTTTGGTGGTATGCATGTACAATGTACTATTTCCATGTGCAAGATTAAAGTAAGAAAAATAATAATGAATGTTACAAAGTACATTATGTGTGCCTTATTAGATGAAAATTTGGCAACACTTAAATTTAATAGCGATTTTGAAAATTCCTTTTTTAGCAGGACTTTAATTTAAACAAACAAAACTGCAGCTGTATTGTCATATGTCCTCACTCATCAATGCTGTCCCACAATCAATGCTTCCGTTACGAGTACCACGTCATCATCTACCGTCAAATAGCATATGTGTGTGAACTGACCAGATGGCGGAATTTCATTTTGTACTTACTTTAATTTAACAACATTTTAAATTTAGCAACACTTAATTTTGGTGCATTTTAAGAAAAAATCGCCAAATTCGCTAAATTAAAGTGTCACCAAAATTTCATGTAACAAGGTATTGTGAATGAACATTAAGAATTTTCTTATGATCGCCTTATATTTTCAGTGGCCCAAAACAAGATGGAGAAAATCCAGATGACCATAAGGTAATTGTAAAATATTAATTTAATGTCATGTATAACTAAGCAACCATCCTTTCTGAATGTAATTTTTTATACCAAGTGTGATTTGCTTGTTGTCAAGTCAGTGGTTGTTCCTTATGACAATGGAATACTTGAAAATATCTGTTATTGAAAAAAGTGGAATTTAAAGAAAAATTATGGGAGTGAGCTTGTTAAGAAATTGGGTTGTAAAATTATTACCTATATATTTTAGTGTGACAGTGGGTAAGAATTTTTTTTTTGCTTCTGAGTTCTTAAGATGCACAAGTTAGAGTTTCCTTGTGTACGCTGTAATGACTTCCTAATGGTTCATTAGATAGAGCTTCGTTAAATATACAGTAGAACCCCTGTAACTTGAACTCTGAAGGGAAGCAAAAAACAGTTCCAGTTAGCAGGTAATTTGAGTTCAGTGAAATTTTGATCAAGGGAAAGGAATTTAGTTTAAGTCAGCGGAGAATTAGAGTTATCCAAGTTTGAGTTATCGAGGTTCTACTGTATGTTGGTATATGTAATTTCTTTTAGTAAAATCCAGCTAGTGGTATATTATCAATGCTGCACTTTTTTTATTCTCGATATTTTTGACCAACTAGTTGGATTTTACTAAAACAGTTTATTATTCCTCTCGCCCTCATGGCCTCTGAGTCAATAGCCCATTCGGCCTTTGGCCTCATATTCGGGCTCGAGGAATGATTGTTAAATATTTTCCCCTTGTAGAAGGAACTGTTCAAGTCAGCCATGGAAGTAGTCGAAGACAGTGAGAAAAGCGATGAGATTACCACACCAACGGATCCTAATGTGAGCCTGTCTACCTATTTTGCTAGTTGTCTTACAAAACTTGTCTACAGCTACACTAGGGGGCTTAACCAGGTTATTTCCAATTCACTGAAGTAAACCAAAACTTTTAATTTATTGTAGATGCGTCTGTTTATCAGTATTTTCGGTGTTAAACACTAAACAGTCTTTCTTCAAACCTCTTGGTTAGTTACAGGCAGTTTAATCTGATCAATCCATTTATCAGAGGGATCATCTCTACCCACATTTTAATATTATTAAGGCTCCATATGCATGCAGCTATTACATAATACAAAAGTCATACTTTGTACAGTACGTAAGTTTAAGAAAATAATTTTTAACCAGGTAAATAAAACATAACCTGATTAACTCAGTTAGTGTGGCTGCAGCCAATCTCATTTTAAGTTGTTAATAAAATAATCTATTTTTGAAATAAATTTTATTTCAGGCCCCTTCTCACCCAGAAGATAAAGCCAAGAAAAATACTCCCAAGAGAAAATTTATTTGGACAGAGGAATTAAGGTATGTGTATTGTTAATTATTTATATCATAGGAGTGTTCTCTGCAATTAAACCTTCAGTCTGCAGCGTGCAAAGAAAGTCGTGTCCGATAGCCCGGGGCTAGTGGGTTGTGTTATCGGGCTTGTGAAATCTGTTCTTAACTTGCCGGATGGGCAAGTGCTTTTGGGGCAATTCAAATTACAGAAGGATTGTAATTAATCCTGCTAATCAAAAAGGGTTTGGGGGCTAGTTGAAATGACTTCTGGGTTAGTACATGCTAGCTACAGTTTGTGTGAATGGCAGGCTGTAAAACTGACTTCCTTTGCACCCTGAGTCTGTCTAACATATCCAACACATTAGTTTCAATTGTCTACATTGACATCTGAGAAAATGTTCAAGACTTCAATGTCAGAATCATCAATGCCACATTGTAGTTCCATTTTGGTTCTGAATATTCTGATGACAATTTTGATGATAAAAAGTCGAGCAGAAAATGGTGGTCAAAGAGTCATTATTCCATTTTCCTTTTTTTCATCAAGGCTTCGATTCTGTCTAATGAGTCTACATGAATTTCTACACTTACAGTAAAAAAAAATCAGTGCTCTGCATTACTTTTGTTACACTATGCAATCATGTCTTTAAACAGGTTATTATAATATTTTCTAAGTTATTATGGTTATCAACCTAGCCTTCTTTAAAATGAATACAGTCAACTCTCTCTTAACAGGCACCTCTATAAGATGGACACCTCTGTAAAACAGACACCTAGAGTTGGCCCCTGCCTTTCTTTACTCCCTTTCTTTGACTCTCTATAAGATGGACATCTCTCTTAGACGGACACTTAGTACCTGCCTTAAAGGTGTCCGACTTAGAAAGAGTTGACTGTATGGATATGATAATGACTGCTTTCACATAACGTCATGTCTGCCATATTGGTGTCCCAAAACCCAAGTCAAATGGCGGCAATGTCGGCATGCCTATAAACGAGTCATTTGGGAGTTGAACATTTTGCTTATGTAAAATACTGTTCGAATTAATTGGCAAATGGATATTTGGTTGAATTCTTTGTAGAGGGCTGTTGTGTGATGTTGTCCAAATGAAGATGAAGATCTTTCAAATGTCTAAAACAAGAGCCCAGTCTGCTGAAGAGTACTTAAAGGTGATTGACCTGCAGCTTCAAGCTCTACACGTAGCATCTGTAATGTAGCTTTGTATGAATAATTTTTTTAAAAAAAATTGCTGATCTGCATTATTTAACAAGCATTGGTCAATGCCGTTAAATTTATATCAAGTTCTTTTGTTGTGTGTTGATGGACCAGGAAAAAGTCATTGTCCAAAAGTAAACATATGATTAAACAAATAAAATATAAACATTAAAAACTCATGAAAGACACTGCCAATATCACCAAACAAGGTATGGCAAACAACAGTAAGATAATTATAAATCAATAGCAAAATGAGGGGAAAAAAGGAAAGACAGAAAAAGTTGACAAAATGAAGTGTGAACAACAATACATGTACTTAATAGGCTTAATTTAGCTCTGCTGGCCCCAGTTCCTGAGGGGCCGATAAGGGCTAATCCATGATTAAATATCTTGAAGTAAAGACACATGTAACTGTATTTTGTAAGCTAGAGTGACATTGATAGAAGCCCTTTTGCATTTTTATAATCTTGCCCGGTAATTAACAGTATTTTCATTTTAGNATTTATATCAAGTTCTTTTGTTGTGTGTTGATGGACCAGGAAAAAGTCATTGTCCAAAAGTAAACATATGATTAAACAAATAAAATATAAACATTAAAAACTCATGAAAGACACTGCCAATATCACCAAACAAGGTATGGCAAACAACAGTAAGATAATTATAAATCAATAGCAAAATGAGGGGAAAAAAGGAAAGACAGAAAAAGTTGACAAAATGAAGTGTGAACAACAATACATGTACTTAATAGGCTTAATTTAGCTCTGCTGGCCCCAGTTCCTGAGGGGCCGATAAGGGCTAATCCATGATTAAATATCTCGAAGTAAAGACACATGTAACTGTATTTTGTAAGCTAGAGTGACATTGATAGAAGCCCTTTTGCATTTTTATAATCTTGCCCGGTAATTAACAGTATTTTCATTTTAGTTCAGGTATGCTTTCATCTGATTTCTTTAATTTTTCATTTTCTTTTTAGGCCTTCTTTGAAAATGAGGTAAGACCTTTATGGCCAAAAGGCTGGATGACAAGCAGGTGAGAATTGTTTTTCTTTTTAATCATAACCAATTTAACAATACAAACTACTTATAGGTGTACAAGGCATCTATCGTATCATCCAGGATCCAGTTGTTCGAAAGCTGATTAGTGCTAGCCTGGGTGGAAGAGTGGTGAGAACACTTGCCTCCAACCCAAGTGGCCTGAGTTCAAATCCTGGGGTTGATGCACTGAGTACGATGTTGGTTGTTGGTTTTCTTTCCTTGTACGTTTCTC